TAGACATCAATCGCTTTGTGCACTTAGCAAAGCCAAGTTTAAACCGTGAAGTGACGATGAGAAAAAATTGATCAAAAATAGACTGTGTTCAGCTGCCGTGACGGTGTGGACTCGTGAGGTTAACGGGTCGGCCTTATATCGGATCTCCGACGAAGACCTCTCTCATGAGGGCTACCACAGGTAAGACGTTTTCGGTTGCTTCGATTCCCTTGTATGCACGGTGTATACATCTCTGAATGCATGCATGTAGGTGTCTGTATTTGTACATTGTTTTCATAGTAACAGGAGTAATTCTTTACGCCCGTTTCCTGTATTAAATATGAAAGTCCAGGTGGTGTTCATCGAAAACCTCTACACCTTGGGTCGAGACAAAAGTGTAGGCATCGAGTGCTTCTTACTTTTAACAAATTTTATAGCATTACCTGAAAAATTGTTCATGCAGCACTTTAATTTAGAGACACAGCAGGCCGCGAAGATGTGGTGGTGCTTTTAGCAAGATCTCCTGGGCAGTGCAACCTCGGTCTCTGTACACTTGCACTGAGTACCAACGTAAGAATTACCGATGGTGGGTGATCTCCATTTGGCTACCAGGTGTTGCTAACTCTATCTGAAGCTGGTTCTGGAGCAAGCGGTTCTTCTCAGGAGTCGTCTCTCACCAGGAAAACGTGCTCGGCACACCGGATGGCTTCACAAATTTACGCGACACCTTCTACTGCGTGCGGCGACACGGCGATTGTGGTGCAAAACGTCCAGTGTTCAGATTCACAAAAGGATCCGGCCTATCAATAGGTATTCCTCAATGTCACATTGGTGACAGCTAAATAAGAATGAGTAGCTACATGTATTATTATAGTATTCGCTTTTTTGATTGTAATTGTACTAATAGAAATAGTATTTGGAAACTGACCTTCCTTTAACCTCGGTGTGACGAATCAGTATGTATTCTTTCTTTGATAAACTTGCACAAGGTTGATAAATGATTTTTGTTCCCGGTTAACGTCTCGACGGCTTCGTCTTCATCAGAGAGAGTGATCCGAGTCGATGGCCCACAGTTGTCCGTGTTCTCGAGGCGGCGCCTTCGTCTTCCTATCGAGGCGGATCTTCTTCAGTGGAGCATCTCAAGAAGCATGGCGGTTGTTGTCGACATGACCATCCGTTGATGATAATTCGTTTTTAAACAGATAATCCACCTTGCAGTAGTCGGTATTACGTTAGCTAGCACATAGCGAATACTTACTTACTTGGTTACTTGGACGGTCCGTCTTCACGAGTTGTGCGGACCCCAGCACATATGTTATTCGTTCCTTTCTCTCGCAATCGTAGCCCATGGTGGTGGTCTTGTTCATAGCGAGTAGCGAAACAATAATTTTCAAATCGTCGTCAACTTCGGTAGCAAAAGTCAATACCTTCTTATTCTTATTATTTTTATTATTTCTATGGTCATTATTATTTTGGTTTATTAGATGCGTATTTTCTTTTTTCTTTACTGTTTCTTCCATTTTGCTAGCCACAGCTCGTACTAAGTGTCCAGCAGAAAAAACGATTTGAATGTGAAACGTTACGTTGTCGTTCTGTTGGGAAAGAGTTATTTTCAGTTACCTCTAGGAAGTTTAATAATGTCATAAACATGAAGCATCAGTAAGGAATTTATCGATGCCGATCGCAGTATTCTTTTCTTCCTTTATTCCAGTGTACGCTTACTCGCTCGATCCTGAGGCGTCGTTTCCCGGCTATTCTACAGAAGGAAAAGTTCTATGCTATGGTTGGGCAGACAACGGATCAGTAGTGCATCCGATGTCTAAGGACAGAACATGTTTACCGGTGAACTCTGTAGCAAATGGAAAGGTTTGACTGCTAAATTCTTCAAAGTGGTAAGGTCTAACACCAAAGGCTCAGTGTAAGCTAGAAGAGAATCATGTCACCGAGATTAGGTTTGGTTTTATGAATTTGATTAACCCCGTTTGTTCCCACTATTGCTTGCGATGACAGTTGATGCCAGTATTAGGCGTCCTTAGTTATTTAACCGGATTCAACTCGAGACGATCTAGGTTACTTAATGGTTCAAATTTAAGCAGTACAATGGTGTATTTGTCATAAGCTTGGAAAGAGAAATTCCTATGAATTGTTTCTTTATTTGCAAGACGAGGTGATTTTTTATTGACACATTGTTGATTGAATGAGCCATATATGACTCATGAGTGCTCAAATGCAACGTTGAACAGCCATATCCCAGATCACAGCAACCTTTTGTGACCTAAATATTCAGTTACTGGGATGTACAAATCTCAGCCAACGAAGTACAACTGTTTTCATGATACGGCAAAATACTATTGCGAATATTTTCTGGAGACCAAAAATCATATTTTTACATTTTCCTTCGTTAAAATGCTTGTCTAGAACAGCTGGATGAGTTTTCAAAAGGCATTTTGTATAATAAGTAATGCTGGTGTTCTGGAGTGCATCGCAGATGTTTTCCACGGCCTCATTTTAACTAGAAAATTTAGAAATTCATACTTGGCCTTCAGTTTTCTTTGAAATTTCGCAGAGCTTTTAGTGCTATTATGGTAGTAAGGAAAAGCTTATTCTACAAGCACGTCAAGTTCTGAACTCTTCTCTCACATTAGCTTTTGAAAAACGCGTGGTCGCTGACGAAAGTTTGATGTCGTCTCCGATGCTCTCATTTTCATATTTGAAATAATAAAGTGTGTAGTTTTTTAAGAGCAGATTAGGACGATATATGAAAGACAAAAGATGAATGAAAGCAACTGTCATGGAGTAGTTAAAGTAGTTTACAAAATTTATGATTACATTGACAAACCCATCTAGAACATTCCACTTATGGTGTCCGTTCGCTATACCATAAATGTTATTTGATGTGCCTCAGATAAGCTACTCGAGTTCGACTTCGAGCATCTATTCGATTGGTACGACGGCCACTCTGGAATGTGACGAAGGTTACGTGAACGGCGGTGAAAGCTCGCTTCTGTGCGTCAATTCGGGATGGTATCCGGCTAGTGGACTTGGTTACTGCGTGGAACAAAATAGTAAGTGAAGCAGAACACTTGACAACAAATGGAAAAGAAGGGTTTGTAAAACAAGGAAGCAGAAACAAAAAAAAGGTGATTATAGGAAGAGCGGGTAATGTAGATGTGGTCATTTTTAGACTCTTTGGTGCACTCTGATACATCACTGTCAGTTTCATCGTCTTCCATGGAATGCGCAGCATTGGGCAGGATAAGGAATGGCCAGCTGACTTATAGTGGTCTTGCGAAAGGAGGTTTGTTGAACGTCTTTTTAGTCAAACACTGAACAGAATCGCATAGGTGTTGCAGTGGACGGCTAGACCAGCGGCCACTAATTAGTTGTCAACTACAGATAGCAAGTTCGGCTGCGAACTGTAAGACCTAAGTTTTACTTGAATTGTTCAGTAATTTGAGGTGAACTTTGTGCACACATTCTTAATAAATTCTAGTATCGGACCAGTAAGTTGAAAAAATTCTCGGATAAATATGGTCCGATGATTGTACAAGAAGATTTTATTGTAGGTCGCTTTCCGCAAGGCACACACGCCACCGTAGCTTGCGACATTGGCTACAGCCTATTTGGATCGGCGGATAGTGTTTGTAAAGAGGGGAAGTGGAATCGAAAACACGGTGTCTGTTATTCGAAGCTCGATCCCATATGTCCAACACTGCAACCTCCAGCTTCTGGAAAGGTAAGATAATATCTGAAAAAGTAGCTGAGCAGAGCATTACAGAGCGGCGCTAGAGGCTGGAGGAGCAGCATGTGGAAAAACCGTCTGAGAATAATACACGCATGGTCATTGGTTCTACCCCATAACATGCCAAGCATACTTCCAGCACGAAGACTCTTGTGAATAACGGATGTAAGGCACAACGAAGCAACTATAAACTGCGATCTGTACAATATGCGATCAGTGACCATGCAAATTGAAAAAAATTTATAAAAAAAATAACTCGACTTGGCCAAGAAATCAATAGAGCAGATAAAAACTGTGATTTTGAACGTAAAACTAAGTTAGGATCGCATTAAAAACGATATCAAGAGGGTTCAAAAACACGACTGTTCTTCAGATCAGCTACAGCACCTTGGGACCCTACACACCGTCGACGACAGCGACGATGAGTTGCGAGTTCGGACTGAGCGTCTTGGGGGCGTCGACGCTGCGCTGCACTATGGATGGGTGGCTTCCAGCTGAAGGGTTCGGAGTGTGTGGAGTGGTGAGAAGTTATTCAGGAAATTCTTTTCCGATAACATTACTCTCCATAAATTTTGAATTAACATGGATGCTAGCCGAAGAGAGTTCTACCACTGAATATCTCAGCCCTAGAGAAGATCGTTTCAGTGGATTTCTTCCACCACAGAATATCGAAAGGGCGAAGAACACTTTTGGCCCCATCTTGAGGTATTTTGCTAACAGAGAGAGACTTCCACTCATCACTTGTCGTTTCGTGAATTGTTTCCTTTTTTGTTGATCAAACCGTCATTTTACCAACGATTTATGTGAAAGTTATGAAATTCTTGACCAACGACGTTGAGCTACTTCGTCATGTACCGGAAATCCTTGACCATTCACGTGAAATGCTATGAATGCAGGATATAACCACAATCCACTGTAGATAGACGGTTACTAACTATTTGAGAGAAGGGCGAAACAATGGACCAGGCTGGTGTGGTGGTGAAAGCGCTCGACTACGGAAAGGGTAATAGCGTGTTCTATCCCCACTCCAGAGACATGCGCTTCAGAGTTTAGAGAATATATTAGCATCATTGTGGTTGTATTTCACATTACAGTCTACCGTGGAAAAATAATAGGTACTAAATAATGATTCGTTTTGATTCCTATTTTTCGATTTGAGTAGGAAATCTTTGTATAGACCACAGCGGTGGTGAGATATTCGCAGAACTTAGTGCCTTTGAAGGGTGATTGCTAATGGCACTGGTAGATAGAAAACTAGCTGAGAGAAATGCAGAGCAAAGGCCTTCGTGGCGCAATGTGTAATGTGCTAGCCCCTGGAAAGCGAAGTCGTGGTTCGATCTGGCGAACGACCGGAGTTTTGCGAATATATCAACATCGTTGTGGGTGATTTCGCATAATACCCTGCTGTGAAAATTGTAGTAGGCAGTAAATAAGAAAATAAACATTGTGATTTCTCTATATAAAGGATAAAAGGACAAAGCTATCGGCGTTGATCAATCGCTGATGGAGACTCCTTGCATTCGACTTCACTAAGCATCGTTCGGAGGTTAATGAATGCATATCTGGCTTTTACAATGACTCGCTGTGACCTGCTGATGTATCAAGCCAATGCTGCTTTCCTCCCAGACAAGTCTGGTACCAATTTGCCGACCCCAGTCGGACGGAAGCTTGGTGGGCCATAGGCGCGGAGATCGATTCCACTTGTGTGTTGCAGGGCGCCTCGGACCACTGCGCCACACGCGCTTTATTTCTCTATATAGACTTTTAAGTTGAATATTTCCTATAAAATACCTCCTTTGTTATAAAAATATTTGATCAGTGAGATCGATGAATCTGAATTTTTCCTAAAACTTATGCCATGATTATGTTCTGTTGCTCTGCATATTTCGATGAGGAGGAAAGAAATCTGGCTTATTCACTCGTTTTCGTGTTCGAATCACGCGCTTTGAGGGAAAAGGAGTGTGAAAGAAGTATGCTTCGTCGCATACAGGAAGTCAAAACTTCACCTTGGTGGAATAACAAAGCACCTGTCTCGTGCCTAAAATTTTCGAAGCCTAGTACTTTTACTTCAATCAATAATGTTCGATATGAGCTGAGATATGTTAGTTCAAATGTGGAAGACCCAATTAATCGATGAGCATCAATGAGTCACATGTGTCTCGTAAGAGTGCGTAGGTGTTAAAATAAATTTTTGTTTATAGTAAAGAGACGTTTTTCTATCCAAACATCTTTTTTGCCGACTTCATTTTCAAACCAGGTGTTTTTCAGTCGCCTCGCGTGAAGCGACAGGTTCGTTTAACATTTCCTCTTGATGGTTCTCTAACCCCTGACCTATTTTCCTTTCTTTCTAAATAACACAGTTTGTAAAACCATCTTTACAAGTTAACCACTGTTTTTCTACTAACTGGGAGCAAAAATTTGCGATTTATGCGACAACAGGTTAAGGAGTTAAGCTTAGTTAAGGACACTTTTGGCCTCGGGTGCCTTCCAGTCATCGTCTGGGGCGGCACGCCGTCCTACGTTCAGTCGAAGCTGCAGATTCCCTTCTCATCTGGGACTTCGGTGTTGGTCGTGTGTAACGCAGGCTACACTCCCCATGGGGCCATGTCTGCATTGTGTGAGAATGGCATCTGGACACCGCCTCTGGGTAAGATTCCACATCAGTCGCTAGAGTCTGTGCAAAATACGTAACGTATGCTTACTAACTAATTAGCTATTTATTTCACCGTTATGTGGATTCATCACGCATTATTTTCTTTCAAAAAAGATCGAAACACATAAAGTTTTGATCCTAATGTTCACCTTCATTCGGACTGCGCAGGAGCATCGAAAAAGTGAACAACGCAAGAACTATACATACCGATTGTTGAATATCGATTTTTATTACTTGTACTGTATTTTTCATGAAAACGTACCTTGAAGATTATTTAGGCGCTAAATTAATGAAAGAAAAATTTTTTCGACGTTCAATTCTATCGCTGGCTTTTCAGGAACCTGCATCCTTTCTCCGGGTATAATACCAGGTAAGGAACTTGTTTCTTTGCTTAAAGAACTTGTTCGATGGTTGGTTTCTATGTGCAAATTCTATCAACTGAATATGGTCCGGAAAAAATTATGAACATAGTTAAGTTTAAAGCGCTGTGAGACTCACGACACTGAGTTGAGCCGTAAGTGATTCACCTCGTCTTCAAATCATTTCACTACTTTGTCAAGCTCTCCATGCATCAATTTTGAAACATCAACAACACCATCATTAGCATCACACGTGAAACATTAACAACCGCCCCGTATAAAAGAGCATCGTCGAGTGAATATGGCTCATTCGAGAGTGATGCTCCACTGAGGAAGATGTAGCTCGATGCGAGACGAAAACGCCACCTCGAGAACACGAACAGATGTGGACCATCGACTCAGATCATTAGCTCTGATGAAGACGAAAACATCGAAACGTTAGCCGAATAAAAAACTGTATCAACCTCGTGTAAGCTCAACAATATAAACACACCTTCATACATCGTCCACGGATCTGCTTTTTTTTGTGCACAACAATACCATTCTCCAAAAACAAGTTGTCGAAGAATCGTTTGGAACGGTGTGGCCTTGAAGAATTATCTTCGTGATTGAGCTTGTAAATTGCTGTGAACAAAACCACTACACTGCAGAAATTTCTGCTTGGTGTTCCTCTACAAGAAGCAATCGTATCCCATTGCTAGGTATACGACTATTTGGTTGTTTTTTTTTGTACTAAACCTGAAAAAGGCCAGGCGATGTTGCTAGCTGTTCTTTTGCGTCCAGTGACGATCAGGAAGTTATTTCAATTGCAAAATTCCTTTGCCAGTTCGATTTTCTTTCCTTGATTGGGTTGATTGGGAAGCCTTTCAGATGCATGTGAAAAAGACTTTTGTGAGCAACATGTAAAGCCAGTTCCTTTACTAGTCGGGATCTTCTCCTCGCAATGCACCCCTTTTTCTTGCGCTGCTGAGCATGGGTCACCAAGTTACTGCATTGATACGAAGCTGTCTCGCTCATGTAGTCATATCGGATCTTTAGAATAGATTCCTTAATCACAATTTTAACTTATTATTTACTGCCTACTTTTTTTTAAAGGCATGGCATGTTGCGAAATATAACTTCAATGATGCTGAGATATTTTCAAAACTCCGAACCGCAGGTGTCTGCGGTGGGGAAACGATCGCGCTATTGTCCTTTCCGGGGAGTAACGCGTTCACCACCACACCATGCTGGTCCTTCGTTTCTCCTATCCCTCAGATAGTTCTATCGATCAGTGTCATCAGCAAGGTTCCTTAGTTGTATTACCTATGTTAATTTTGTTGTGTTAATTTAGGAAAACATTTCTATGAAATCCTTTCGGCCAGATGCTTAGAACTAGTGTTTTTCTAAATATCTTTGCATTACAAGAGTTTTCGTAACATATCACAGGGTTTGGTTGGGAACTCTTTACATCTTGTGTAGCCAAAAGTCTACGCATCACATGTTCCGGTTGTCAAGGCACTTGTCAGCGGGGATACTAGCGATCGACCAACGTCGTACCTTGCCTGATCCATCACAAGTCGAATTATTTGAAAGTAAATTATAGACGTAGTAGTGCAGCGCTAGTGCTTTCAAGGATACTAGTGACAGATATATTGAAGGAGCCAGATGAATCGAAGTAAATTCGAGATTACAATTTCGAATTTGTTCAGGAATAAACTCCGGCCTTGCTGAAGGTGCCTGCCCTGCCATGGTAATACCTCTGAATGGCCACGTCACTTACTCGACTATCGGAAGTGATCGAGTTTTCATCGAGTCTGGTGTTATATTCGCTTTTCTCTTAGAATACTTTAACTTCAGTCGGCTCTTATGCTTCTGGCACGGTAGCGACGCTCACCTGCAATCTTGGCTATACGATTTCGGACACATTGTCTAGTACCTGCACGGCGGGAACATGGGTTCCTCCACTTCTTGGAACTTGCAATTCAGGTAGAAATTGATCATATAATCAAAAATTATGTCAATTTCGATCATATCTACCAAGCGAAGGTAGTGCAAGATATTGTATCTAGATGGAGGATAAAATGGGGGAAATTTATGTCTTGTTGTCTTGTCATGAATGATTATGCTTAGCTACGTAGATACTTGGACGGCTCTTTTTAACAAGTAGTTCATGCCTAAACACGTTTTCCACTTGTTCCATTGTCATTATGGGCGCAGTGGTCGGAGGCGTCCTGCAATACATATGGGATCGATTACCACACAACTGGCCCACCAAGCTTTCCATCCCTCCGGGTTCGGCAAATTGGTACAAGACTTGTCTAGAATGATAGCAGCACTGGCTCCATACATCGATAGGCCACCGCGAGTCATTGTGAAGGCCAGATATGCGTTCAATCACCTCCAACGACACTGAATGAAGTCGAATGCATGGCGCATTCCTAAGGGTTGATCAAAGCCGAGAGCTTTATCCTTTATTTTTATTTCATTATTTCTCATGCATTTCTCTTATTAATAACATCTAGCCCGTTATTCGCGGGGATAAATGACGCGTCCGTAGAACCATATAGGGGATTAAACGCGGACCAAAAACTGCATTGTTCTTTCCTGAGACAAATGAATCCAGTGGCTGGGCTTCCTGCTTTTGCTGCGCCGGTGTGATAAATAGTTTCTGTTTTTACGAAGATGTACTGATGCACGCACGCGTGCGTGAAGACGTTTTCGTTTGTGCACGTTGTATTCTAAGAGTCATTTCGGCCAAAAACTTGCAAACAGGTCAGTGGGAGACTAGACAGTACATGAAAGGTGGTTTAAAGTCATCTCCAACATTATAGGCTCCATATCTACTCTGGAAGAAACTAGAAAACTACTCAAAAGTATGCCCAACACAAACGATGAGAGCTCAGCAGTCTGTACACAGCATAAGACACTAAACAGAATAAGTAGGCCTCATTCCCCTTACCTTGAAGAAGCCCGATACGGCAGCATTAGGTGAGACGAGTGCGGAGAGGCTACCAAAATCTATGCCATTCTATGCTTCATAAATCTGAGTAAGGTAAAGATATGTGCCTACAATGCACGCTCGCTTGCATCTACTTAATCCGTAGAGAACTTGATTATACGCTGGCTAAGATGACGAAATGCCACTCGTTCAATGGCATCTCTGACGCCGAAGAAGATTCGTTCTTCGAATATGAAGCAATTGAAGAGTGAGTCACGTTGGCATTCTCGTTAACGTAAGCTTGGGCATGAGTATCTATTCTTTTATACAAGCAATAGTGCCTTTGACAATTTTCGCCGTTTGGCCACAGACATCAAGCTGTGACGTTGACGAAATCGAAGCTTCTATACGGACTTCGTATAGTTCTTTACAGGAGACCACGCACTCGATAAGGTTATCAAAGGCGAGGATATCAAATTTGGACCGACGAATTGGAATGGAATGAGCTGGATGAGTAGCCATCTAAGTTTGTGATGACGACCAAGGCCATCAATGGCAGCTCGCAATTCCAGAAGTCTCACCCTCAACGCTTGACTTCTTCCAATGAAGAGTACCAAAACGATATAGACCACATCCTGGCAAATCGATAGTTTTGCCTGTTATTCCAAAATTTCAAGCGGGCTTGGACTAATCGCCTTCGTCGCGCAATGTTTTTTTTTTCTTACGGAAAGGAGAGTTGGCCGCAAAATTTAACAAAGGTAATTCCGAAACCCCCGTAAATTGGAAGTTGCTCAAGTCTTCAACGAAGATTCCGTTGTCGATACTTACTTAGACACTGGTTGTCTCGTTTTCTGCGGTTGTGCGGGCACTAGCATAATCTCTATTCTTCAGAGATCTGCTGGTTCAGCCATTGTGGTTGCCTGGATTCCCGCTGGCTGCTTGGGCAAAATCTGCCCCAGGTCTTCACTACCACAGGCATTTACCGCCCTTGTTGATCAGAGCGGGATTTGCCACCATGTGAGTAGTTTGATACTAGAACGGTAGTGGATCCTGGTATTGGTTTACTCTTAGCTGGGATTTCAGACGGAAAAGCTGGACTCGTCAGCTTGGGGGACCCTGATAGGGGGATGGATCCTCCAGTGCACATCGCAGCCCTACATCCAGGAACATTTCCCAGCTACGATGAGGCGGTAAACCGCTGTGAGGACCTCTTAATATTAGTGATATGAAAGTCGAAAGTTTTAACGTTGCGAAGGTTCATCTGTTACACGGGAAACACGTTGAGTGAAATTGCAAAAGCCATTGGCAATCGTCAAATCATGTCCAAACTTGGAAATCACTGCAGAAGGGTAACTGTGGCCCAATTTGCCTCCTGCCTCTCGTCTACGAACTCTTCACTCGAGGCGTCATAAGCATGATTTACAGAACAGTGGACGAAGAACATCCATGTGAGCAAGCAAGTTTTGAAAAAGCATTCAGGGCAACAGGCGACCTCCACATAATTATGAGACTCATCGAAGTAACGTGAAGGTAAAATACGCCGATTTTTCTCACCTTAATAGACTTAGAAAGGTTTTTGGCTCAGGTGACGCAAAAGGCGTGATCTGGAGTACTGGAGACAATTCTCCCTGCCTCAATGTATGCGTCAACAAACTGGTCTTTTTGTAAGCAGGATGAAAAATAGCAGGGCATTACAGAACGTGCAGTCGAAAGGGTGATGCAAGGAGTTTCCCGTATTACGCAAGTGAAAATGTGATCCACAGCTCCGACCTATGTTAACGATTAAAACCGGAAACACCGTTCTATTCGCCAGTTGTAGGACATAGTTTGGTCCTGACACGTAACGAGTATGTACGATATCCAACTGACAAGAACCGTTCGCGATTGGATTTTCGGGATGTCAAACGCAAAGCAAGAAAAGCACGGACTCGAGGGGTAGAGCTCTTCAAAAGAGCCCCAAAAGAAATATATAATGTTTAACAGGACCTTAAAGCGAGCAGAAGCTGCTGTGCTACTTTTGCACAGGGCAAGAAAGAAATGAAGACTTCACCTGCCCCTAATAGATTCACTAGATGGTCAACGGAGGACAGATGATGCAGATGAGTTCTTTGCTTCGTTATCGTCATCCATGTAGTGGCTCGTTCGAGTATAGAAAAGTAAACGAGTACCTTTCTGCGAGATATAAGGCACTTACTGCTGACTAATTCTTGCTATTATACAAACACGTTCGTTCTACGCATTGGCCAATGACGTTCCAAAGGTGGCAGGTGGGAAAGACTACTGTATCTTCTTTGGGTCCACTCTGCAACTGCGCTAGCAGTGATTGTCTAATCGAGCGATTTTATTGTTCACTAGAAGTAGTTTTTACAAGAACGATGGGTCCACTCTTTGCCCAACAAGTGACGATAGAAATGCATTCGGTTAGCTGTTGTCTAAAGCTTCTCGTAGTGAATAAAGGTTGAACACATGGAACAAACGGTAAACCAGACTTCGACGACCCTCTGAAGGGTTTCAATGTGATCCATTTAGTAATATGGATGCTTAAATCTGAGTTCCTCAAGTGGTTGTTCCTCATGCAAAGCATGAGAGGAATATCGTTTTGAAGAGCTCCTGATGCGAACTCGACAAACAAATTTGGCGGTGGTCACGAAGATGTTTCTATTCACTCTTCTTAGGAAGCAGCACACTCTAGCTCTTTCGTTGATCTGGAATCCCTTCCTTTCAGAGGTTTGAGCTTTCGCCTATGGCTTAGTGGTCTAAGAAAATCGACTGCACTGCAATATCCGGTCTTAGAGCCGAACTCCTCGTAGGGCTTTCTGTAATAATCAAACTTCACATGAAAGAATCAGGTGCCACCTTTTCCCAGCTGGAATTTCAGGCACATGCCAATGATTGTGGAACGGAAAAGGTTGGTGAAGAAGTTCTTTGTTATCACTTGTGCGCATTTCGATCGTTCTGCCCTACCAGAACAACAAAAACATTTGAAGCCTTGTCTGTTGTTATGCAAAAACTTGGGGACTATGGAACTGGAGCTAACAAGACTATGTATTTCTGTGAAAATTGTTATCAAATTTTCTTTCTTATTACCAGTTATGTCCACATGGGACTGGCTAACAGAACTTCTTTCATCGCAACTAATTCCTGCATGTGCCGTCTACAGATGTACTCAAATTGGCGTGCGGATTCAGCTGCTGGTTGAAGATTTGGTATTCTTCATGAATGACCTCGAATTCTGGAGCGTAGATTTTCCCTCGAGCTCTAAAATGGTGCTGCAAGAGCGTTCCGATAACTTTATCACAACCAGTCGCCAGTCTTTGTGAATCAGAGGAAATTTTCCTCAAAAAAAATCTGTTTCCAACTTGCCGATAGCGAAGGGATTGGAGGATTAGTTACTCCGAGAAGGGTTCGAGACAGCGGTCTTGCATGTATTGCACGGGATTTTTAACCAATGCGCTTCCCGCGCATCTTTCAGCTAACTATTATTAGTCAAGTAGACTCTTAGGATTATATCGCAATTAATCGGGTGACTTATTTAAGGTCGGAAAAAATCTCTTTTTCTATAGCATGAAAGTCACGGTCACAGACTAATTGTAATATCAAAGTCGATTTTTAGGAATAGATGGAGCAGAACCGGACGGCATTCTTTCATGTGGAAATCCGATTGTAGCAAATGGGATAGTCACCTATAGCTTGGGAACTCTAGAAGAGGTCAGTTAGATATGGAAAGCCAGCATGACCTGTGAGAATATCGATTGATCATCACGATGAGCCGGCATGAATACATGAAATCACTATTGGAAAATCCTACTTTGTAAAGCACTCACTGAAAACGTCGCTGCAGATTAATACTATAGTTGCTGAATCACCAGGTTGTACAGTTCACCTTCTACAACGACCAGTCTGGTAACGGTCTCTAAGTAATTCTGATGTTCATGCATAGGCTTGTTTTAAACGTGGAAAAAAGAACCTTTGTTTAGCCCCTCAAGGAACCAGGAACGGTAGCGTTGATGTCGTGCAATTTTGGCTTTTTTCCGATCGGATCAACAACGTCGACCTGTCAGAATGGAGCTTGGATGCCGGCGCTCGGCATATGCAGTGCTGAGGGTTTGCATGCATTAATCGCCTCTGCTTAGTTGAAAATAAATACTCAGAAATAGTTCGCCACTCTTTAATTGATAGTAAGTAACGCTGAAATAATGAACTTTTCCGAATACCATAAGCACTTTTTTCGTAGACAGTTAAGGCAATCCGACCTCTACCGCATTAATAACCTCGTATGGGCTTATAAAAAAAAATAGTGAATTACTGATAGACACTTATGCTAATAGAAAGTCGGTCCTGGGAATCACTCTAGGCACAGTGGCTAACACCAATCCTTATAATTGGTATATTGCAATCAGATTGCTGTAGGGTGAATGATACACCAATACTACTACGTTGACGGTGATTCGTTGGGTTTACTGCCGGTTGTAGGCGCCACTGCGACACATACGTGGAATCGATGCCCATGCCCATGACCCATCAAGCCTTCCATCTCTCCGGGGTCGGCAAATTGGTACCAGACTTGTCTGGGAGGATAATAACACTGGCTAGATACATTGGTTGGCCACTGCGAGTCATTGTAAAGGCCAGATATGCATTCAATCACCTCCAAACGATGCTTAATGAAGTCGAATACATGGCGCATCCCTAACAGGATTGATCAACGCAGTGAGTTTTATCCGTTATGCTTTTACCGCTGCACTTTTGCTAGCGACCCTTCTTCTTGCTATAGACATGAATAGCGACTATCCTATGATACGTTGGACACTGCTTCCCTCTTTCGCACAAATTTTTAGGATCCAATGTCATATTATATTATAGTTCAACAACATTATTGGTGGAGCACTGATAGACGGTGGATGACTTTGACGGGAACATGTTTCCAGGCGCTTCAACGCTCAGCTGTCTTGCTATGTTACCTCCACTTGGCGGCACCATATCCTACTCAACTGGCAGTACTCTAGGTCCTTTTGAATCTGGAGCATCCGCAGTACTCAGATGTAGCAACGGTTTACCCATTGGTAGGGTAAACATTGAAGATTTGATTTTGTTCACTAGAGTATCATGAACACTTCAGGAGCTTCCGTAAGTACTTGTTTAAATGGCCAGTGGTCACCTCCTACGCTGGGAACGTGCTCTCTCGATTAAGGTAAGTCAACTGCCCAATTTTTTCCTTAACCGTTCCGCAACCGTGCGTATTGATTTCTACATCTATGATGGTGGAAAGGGCGCGTGTAGCGCAGCGGTCGGAGGCGCCCTCCAATGCACATGGGATCGATCGTCGCCTCCAGGCCCACCAAGTCCTCCGTCCCTCCGGGATCGGCAAATCGGTGCCAGACTTGTCTGGGAGGATAGCAGCACTGGCTCGGTACATCGGTAGACTTTGCGGGTCATTGTGAAGGCCAGATATGCATTCACTCGCGTCCGACGATGCTTAATGAAGTCGAATGCGTGGGGTGTCCCTAAGGGATTGATCAACGCCAAGAGCTTTAAACTTTATTATTTTACGCTAGTGGACTCCACGAAGCGTACATATTGATTCCAATGCGCACGGTTTCAGCTGGTTTATTTCGCCGTGCAAAGTTTTTCGCCAGACTTTTTGTGACCAACTGATACCTTGTTGACCATATATTGAGTAGTGGGACCAAGCCCAGGGTACTTGGATAGTTGCCTGGCCCGTCTTCTCTGATTGTGCGGGCCCGAGCATATTTCCCATTCCTCGGAGATTTGCTGCTCTAGTCATTGTGATTCCACAGAGTTCCGAGGACAATCGGGCCAAAGTCTGTCCCACGTCATTACCACCACAGGCAGTCGCTGCCGTTGTAGATCAGAGGAAAATTTGCCACCACGCGACTAGTTTGATAACAGGACAGTGGTGGATCTTTGTATTGTTTTACTCTTAGCTGAGCCTCCTGATGGAAACGCAGGTCTGCTTCTCAGTCTGGGTGGTTCTGCCAGAGGAATGATTTCACCTACTGTACATCGCAGCCAGCCAACCAGGAGCAACTACCAGCCAAGATGAGGCGGTAAACCGCTGGGAGGCACCCAGTTTTCATTGCGCAGTCCTAGCGAAAAGCCCTTCTCGGACAAGTTTGCTTATCCAGTTTAACACCGCACCGGTTGTCTTGGTACCTGCGCAGTAAACTTTATATCTTTGGGACAGTTCTTCATCTCGAGGAAATGACATATCACTGATAAGGCTTCTCTGAAAGTGTTTGTTGTAAACAAAAGATCTCTGCGTCCTCAAAACGCGCATTTATCGATGGGAGAAATGTCGCTGAAAAAATACACATCTCTAGCTCTTATTGCACATTGTTCCGCCGAATTTGCAAAGCTTTTACCAGAATACATTTATTCTACAATGTAGATGTTTTAGAGGAAATTTATATTAATGTATTCATTGTATGTAGGAAAAGTAAGCGATAGAGTGTGCCATTCACCAATGCGTAGAGCACATGTTTGGAAAAAATGCATGTTATTAACTCATATCCTTTTGCTCCTTACCTTACTACTATGGGTGCGTGCGGCGCAGTGATTGGAGGCGCCTCGCAATACACACGGGATCGATTATCGCGCCTCTGGCCCACCAAGTCTTCCGCCCCTCCGGGGGTCGGTTGGTATCACACCTGTCTGCAAAGATAGCAGCATTGGCTCGATGCATCGGTAGGCCACCGAGAGTCATTGTAAAAGGCCGGATATGCATTTACTGACTTCCAAACGATGCTTGATGAAGTCGAATGCATGGTGCATCCGTAACGGATCGATCAACGCCGAGAGCTTTGAGAGCTTTTATCTTCTTACTATTTTGCTGATGTTGTAAACGTCCAATGAAGAGAATTAATTTAGGCATCTGCTAGTTCTACAACCAGCAGCTTTACAACACAATACGAAGAAGTGGCCCTTCTTGCATAAAACTTCTGATGTTTGCAAATAATAAACATTTTCTTCTATAAAATTTCTAATTTTTGCATACATTGATATATAAAATACTACAATGGTGTTATAACGTAAAATTAACAATACAATTAATAGTGTAGTATAATGTATTAACAATATAATATCAATACAGTAGGCGGATAGCACAGTGGTAGTGATCTTTGTCATCATTGGGAAATTGGCATCGGACTTGTCTGGGAAAAAATCACTTTCTGCAATCCAACTGAGAGCGCTTCAGCCCGGGTATCTCAGGACCCGGGTATCTCAGGACTTCAGGGAGAATTGCTCGACTAGTATTCTACGACATTCAAGATGAAATGAAAATCCTGAAACAGCAACCGAAGCCACACGTCAAGTTGTAAGATGTTCGTGGACAATGGATGCGAGGAAACGAAGTGAATGTGAGAGGTGGTGGGATCCGCACGGTAGATGTGAAGAGGGTCAAATAAAATAAAATTAAAATGATAAATAAATATTAATAGAATAATATACAAAATCGATCTCGCCTTACCTTCAATCCTATACAGCATACAACTTCTGCAAAGAGTTTGCATTTCTTTATAAAAATTCCACTTTTTGCGCATTAACGACATTTCGCATAATTACGTTGATCAACAACAAAACGAGTCCGGAAAAAAACATTTCCCACATTACTATGCCTACCACGAACATGTCTAGACGACCTTGTAGCAAATATGGACTGACCACAATTTGGAGACTGTATGCAAGAGCCAACCCCCCAACTCTAAGCCTTTGAACGAGAAGTAATCAGAAAATTGCAAGTAAAAGTTATGAAATCATTAAGAAATTTACCAATGCGCTCATTCCACGGAAATTATTGGACAAGATACCATAAGAAGCGAGAAGCGCTGTTTTTTGGTAGTAATTCGAATAGTGTTTTAAGTTCAATTCCCTGCCTATTTTTTTCTTGGAAGGGGTATTATGTGAAATACAACCACGAGAATGCTGAGATATGGGCAAAACTCGAAGCTTCAGTTGCTCTTCGAATCCGCGAGTGGCAGGGGCTCACATGTTATCCACTGCACGAACCTAGGCACTTGGTTTACCTTCCTCTGAGGCAGCTTTTATGGGTGATTGCTGATAGCACTTTAAGAGTGGAAAACCGGTTGGGAGAAAGGCAATGCAAAGGTCTCGGCTGGTGCAGTGGATAACAAGTGAGCCCGCGTAATGGATAATCGTGGTCTCGAAGAGCAGCTGAGGCTTTGAATTCCACTCATATCTCAGCCACCTTGTGGCTGCATTTCACGTAATCCGAATAATGCTGCCCGTAAAGAACCAACTTTCGAAAATCAGGATATCTGGTGGACAACGTAGTGATTATCTATCACAGCCATCGTAACAACGAACTTTCGTGAAAGCTTAATGACGTGGAACTTATCGGCACAACCTTTCCAACCACACAACCACGAGAACAGCAAAAAGATTAGCCAGTAAAACAACACTATCGTTGAGAACTTGGGGCCTGGGCCTACAGGGACCTCTCTTTACTCGAAAAATGTTTTTTGTCTAATTGCAAACATGCTACCGAAGTTAAATTTCGTTTAAACAGCTTCACATTATCCTCAAATGCCCACGACCCGTGTGTTTTTGATGGAACTGATGTTTTTGACGTTAACCAATATTTTTTAAACCTACCGTCATTTATCCTTAGCACTTTGGCTAACGTTGCGACGTCTTCGTCTTCCTTAGAGCCGATGTTCCGAGTCAGTTCGTCTTCTCGAAGTGGCGCTTTCGTCGTCGCATCGAGTCGGATCTTCTTTCGTGGTGGAGCATCTCTCAAATAAAGTACGCTCACCTGGCGACTCTCTTCTATACAGTATACTGGTTGTTAATAGTAGGATGAAGGCGAAGAGGAAGACGTTAAGGCGTTAGCTGAATAAAATTTGTCTATTAACCTCGTGTAAGCCCAGCAATTTATACACATGCTGATTCGTCATACCGAGGTTAAAGGAATGTCGGTCTTTGAAATGTTATTATCCTGCGATAGTCGGTATTATACTGGCTAGCACATAGCGAATACCGAATTAATATCTTTGGTAACCACTAAATACCAGTAACCAATGGCGTGTTTAGATGACGGTCGGTTTGAAAAATATTGATTTGCTATTCCCAATATGCTATCTAATACAAAGCC